GGAAACATTCTCAGTATAAGGAAGTTTTCAAATAATGAAAATTCTCAAAGAATAGAGTGAGTTGGAGTGGAGAAACAATTCTCTGCTAATTGATTCCAGTGAATGAAGAGAGTTTTGTGATCATTTTCCATTCCAAAGACTCTATCTGCCAGAGCAAGGGCAAAGATGCATTCTCCCCGAAAATTAGCCTGTTCAGAACTCACTGTCCTTCTGAAATACACATAGCCTTCCGCTAGCCATTGCCTTAGAACAGATGAAATCTGAGGAGGAAGAAGTAGAACTATTAGAACGTATTGGAGTCTTCATCTTCGGCTGGGCAATGGTCTTGTGTGGTTTTGTGGGCTGCATAACTCAAGGTCTACATTCTACTCACCTTGTTTTGTGACTGCATATGCACATTCTGCATGGCTGTTTTCATAATTTATATGTATTTCTTAATAAACTTTTTTGGGTAAATTTCAAACCTCCTCAAATGAACTGAACAATAATAACATAAATCAGAGTCATTTATTGATGTCTGATGCCAAAGCCTAACCTCTTAGCCTCTAGGCTAGGTTCTCAATAGGTTTCAGAATGACTGAATAAATGAAGGAAGGAATTATTGAGCCCATGGGGCAGCCTGTGTAGTATCATCTACATTTAATAAGAAAACCAAGGCCTGGAGAAATTAAGCAATTTCCTCATTTGAAACAACCTGCTCCTCTGCCACGCTATACTGTGCCCTAATGTGAATTAGGAAAGACACACTATTTGGGTGACGGTTGCCCCATAGGCACAAGATTTGTTAAACGGAATGTCTGCTGGAAGTCAGGCCACACTTACCCTCTTGGCCGAGTCCTTTATGTAGGGCACAGTGTGTATATAGCATTTAAGTTGTAAAAACAGGATTTGTCTCAGGCCTTCTGACTTTGCATACTTTTCTCTTGAATGAGGGATTATACTTTCACACTAATGCACAGCACTCCATTCCCCACCAAATAATAGCAAAAAAAAATTAATTAATTAACAGATTTTCCCAGGTGATTGTAAAACCAAAGTAGTAATCACATCTTTCTCATGTTGTTACCATTCTGGAAATAATCAGCGTTGAGGTAATCTATGTGGTATAAACGTATAAGTAGATTAAAGAGCAGAGATAATGACTGAGAATGGAGTCCATAGACTAACATGAAATGAGAGATGCTAAAACAGCAAGTTCAGAGAACAGAGATGAGGGGATAGAGCTGCTCTATTCTCTGAACATACACTTTGGCAATCCTGGCTCCTCATCAGAGAAATACTGTCTCCATCTACGCATTCACCCTTTCCCTATTCATCAGGCATTTATGCATCACATGTCACTTTCCCCAGACACAGGGGCAGGCATTAGCTGTGCAGTGATCATTAATAATACCTGGACCTAATCTGCAAAAAACGTACACAGCCCTTAAGAAGGGGTAAGTCCATAAATTCATTACAACATAATTTGAAAAACTCTAGGAACAAAATGTCGTGTAAGCCCAGGGGCCATAACTTTCCTGAGTAATTCAGGGAAGAGAAGATGTAATATGGGTCTTGAAATGTGAGAGGAGCTTTTATATAGAAAAGCAAATGGAAGAAAGTAGTCAAGGCAAAGGAACAGCAGGTATATAACTTCAGAACCACCAAAGGGTGTGGAATGCACATGGAATGAGGAGGCCCCAGTAGAGAAGGGGATGCATGAAGGGAATGGAGAATGTGAGTCTGGGGAGGGAAGTTGGAGCCAGAGGAAAAGTGCTTTGTGTCTGTGGTCCCCAGACCCTGGGCCACAGACTGGTACTGGTCCATGACTTGTTAGGAACTGGGCCCACAGTAGGAGGTGAGTGGTGGCGAGCAAGCGAAGCTTCACCGGTGTTTATAGCCACTCCCCATCACTCGCATCACTGCCTGAGCTCTACCTCCTGTCTCGTCAGTGGTGGCATTAGAGTCGAGAGGAGCACAAACCCTGCTATAAAATCTGCATGTAAGGGATCTAGGCTGTGCACCCCTTACAAGAATCTAATGACTGATGCTCTGAGGTTCAGCTGAGGACATAAAGCAACACATTTGGAGTGTCACTGACTCCCATCACGCCCAGATGGAATGGCCTAGTTATAGAAAAATAAGCTCCAGGTTCCCACTAGTTCTGCATTATGGTGAGTTATATAATTATTTCCTTATATATTACCATGTAATAATAACAGAAACAAAGTGCACGATAGGTGTAATGTGCTTGAGTCATCCTGAAACCATCCTCCCCACCCCCTGATGCATGGAAAAATTGTCTTAAATGAAACTAGTTTCTGGTGCCAAATATGTTGGTGACTGCTGCAAAAGCCTAAGATGAGGAGACACCATTATCATCTTCCAGGCAGGTATATTCTAATCTTAGTATCATTGCAGAACAAGCTGGCATTGCTCCTTTGGGGGGAGGCTTTTATGAAAAAGAATGATACTTGTAGAGGGTGGAATGGACTTACAGGGCTTTGTGACTTTAAAGTTGCATAGCTCTGAGTTCAAATCCTGGCTCTGCTATTGTCTACAGCAATTTGGGACATAAATTTCCTCCTCTCTGGGGCTCAGTGTCTTTATTTGTACAACTGAAACGATGGAAGCTCACAGAACTGAGACGATGACTGTGAGTTGGCCCACAGAGCATCTGCACAGGACACATTTTATAAACACTGGAACTAGTCCCTCCCCTTTAATTTCACCCACTATGCTTCCTTCAGCAGGAATATACTTGCCCAAGAATGTTGGTAACAGGCTTGTTATTACAGTCCTTTCAAGAAGGAAACATCACAACTTGGTATCCAGATTCTATTAGAAAAAAAAATGTTTTTGCAGTTTTTGGCCGGGGCTGTGTTTGAACCTGCCACCTCTGGCATATGGGGCTGGTGCCTTGTCCTTTGAGCCACAGGCCATTGCCCAATTGGAAAAGTCTTTTAAACAGAATATCCTAAGACTAGCTAACCTCCTTTGTTGTGTTGCCTCCTTAATGCAGGCAAAGGCATTCGACAGGGCAGGCCCATGACTCCCATTCTGGAAAACTGTAGCTCTGCCTTGACTTTCCTGGTCATCAGAAGACAAAATAAACCCAGAAGATGTTTACTGTCAGCACAGTGTTACAGAGCTCTAGACAGTAGCTGAGAGTATGATGAAACTGCAATAGATTTTTAGAACTATTGTATTCTGCACTTTGATCTTGATCCATCAGGATGTTTTCCATCCTAACCTGCTCTAAGACAACAAGCAGGTGATTTTTCCATATAGATCACTGAGAGACATTTGAATCACCCCCTCTGAATCACTGAATCTCCTCCTGGTTAGAAGAACTAAGCTTTAGTATCACAGAATGTGACCATTAAACAATGCCTCTGAAATCATGTAATGCAGCATTTCCCAAGGGGTCAGAGGAAGTGTGCAGAAGCAGAATGGACACTAGTGTCCGCACAGGATCTAGCAGATAAAAGCCCATTTTATGGCTTTGCTTCCAGAGGCCCTTAGTGAACTGAGTCTGAGGCATTGATATTCACCCTTCCAATTAACTATACTCGTTATACAAGGACCTTCTTACAAGTAGGCATGTTTATAGTTCTTGGATATATCTAAACTTGCTTCAGGATTTGAAGCTGCAGAATTCATTTTATCCACTAACATAATTCTGAGCTCACGCCACATTAGACATCGGGGCATAGGAAGAAAATCTCTGAATTGCTCTATTGAAGAGAAGGTGGGTTCTTATCACTAGAGGTGTGCATGTGAGAAAGATATCTAATGATGAATATTGTAAACTTAGTATATGCCATTCAGCATTCTAATTAACTTACTTAATCATCATAATAACTTTATTCATTGAGTGACTACTATAATCTCCCCCATTAAGAGATGAGAATTTATTTTGGAAGTACCATAGATTACTTAAGAGACTTGTGCATACTTAGACAGCTAGTGAGTAGCAGAGCCAGAATTTAAATGTAGAAAGGTGGCTCCAGGTTCTAATTTCTGAATCAGTATCAGGCAGCACCACCAGCCAGAGTAATTAGTATGGCTTCTACATATTCAATATATGACTTTAGTTATATTTTAGCAATTTTTTGATCATCCTTAAACCATAATCTCAGGGAGTTCAGAAGCTCCCTTTTGAAGAATCTTTAATCTTCTCAAAAACCATTTAAATGCTGGAAGGGAAGAGTCTCTTCCTTTCAAACATAAGGCACATAGGAACACTACCAAACATAGGAACCGCTGCTGCTACTTACAGCCCCGTGGAATTGCTAGTTAACATGTGCCTGAGATGAAAAAGCGACAGTTGATCACCTATATTCTGTTTCTGACTATTGCCTAGTCCCTGAGCAGATGGCCACAGAGTTTTTAATGGAGGATGATGAAACAGAAAAATTTAGCCAAGTGTGTACTACTTTAGACAACCCAGGGATCAAGAACTATGGTCATATGACCTTTCATGCCTTTGTATTAAGCCATCACCAACTTTAATTTGACCTTCTCTAGAGATAATTAGAGAAAAAAAATGACTAGAGAAGTAACATCCTCCTGGCCAAGAACCCAGAGGAACCCTCCAGTGGAAATTGAACTTGATTGCTGCATGCCTGAGATAGCATGAGCAACTTGTGCATCCAGACATATGCTGGACATTACAAACTCATCAGGGCCTATAAAGTCAAGCAATTATTTCTTCTGGTTCTCAGCAAACCAACAATGGTCTTGTCAGTGCTCCAGGATAGCCTTGCTATGTTATTTGTGCCTAAGCAGTGTATACAGCAGATGGTATCTCACATGAGACTTCCACAGAGGGGCTCCAAGGGTAACTTTTACCAGTCAGACCAGTCAACTTGAAACATCAACCAGGAGTTAGCTGCAAATCCTCTGCAATGGAATCTGTGCTGGTTGCTAGGTTGGGCACAGGATGAGACAGGAAAGGGGACCAGTCTGTAGATAAGCACATCTCTTCTAAGGCTCTAACAGATCTCTCTGATTCACAGGATGCCTTCAGAGCTGTACACCCGGACCTTGACCTAGTGCAATTGTACCTTAAACCACTGCTCATTGGAGAGCTTGCTGCAGAAGAGCCCAGCCAGGAGAGAAACAAAAACGTGAGTGAGGTACCGGGATCCAGGCGTGTGGAAGGATCATTTTGAGGTCGATTTACTGTTTTCTGTGATAAATCAGCTGCTGTGCCTTGGTAGGCCCCAACACAGTAATTGGGTGGATGCCACATATTTCAAAACTGTGTCTTCCCCTTTTGTCCTCAGAACTCCTAAATCTTCTGTGAAACAAAACAATGGCAGTCTTGGCCTTGCTCAAAGAGTAATGTCACTTCTCTAAGCACCTATATCCTACCAGGCAACTTACACACATGATTTATGTTTTATGATTATGTTTCCTGCTCAGCTGAGTTCCATGAGAGCAGAGAATCTGTCCATCTTGCTTATTGCCATGTCCTCAGGACCCACCTGCATGGGATCAGA